CTTTGGAGTAACATCAGTGGCATTTCCTGGGGGGGTTACACTTTGTTTCCTTGCTTTTTCGGTATTGCTGCCTTCTACTTGTGGAACTGCTTCTTTCCCGAATTCTTGGACTCTCAGTTCACTTGCTTCTTTTTCCTCCTGAACTGTAGACTTCACTCTCAGATTCCAGTTCAGAAAATGGAATGCCTTCATGGTGTTCTGCTCGAGTGCTCTCCGTTTCCCATCGAGAATGGCATTGTAGGCAGAAAGCGACCTCTCCACATCATACGATCCAATCGTTGTAGTACAGTAGCAAGATGCTAGCTTGTACAGTTCTGGAAGGCTACTTGCCTTTGATTTCCAAAATTGCTTTACGTCTAGTTCGCCTTCATCTTTCATGTTTTTTACAGCTTGAGGTCCTATGTGATTCACATAGAGTTGCCACTCCTCTTTGGGAACAGATTCTATCCCAGGAATGCTATCAATGCAACCTTGACTACGCTCACAGTCCACAAGATTGACTGGATTGAGAACTCGAACTTGCTCTAGAAACTTTGATGCGGGCTGGGCACCATCTACCACATACTTGGATAGCTTAGAATGGGCCGCCTTGAAAGCTGCCGTGGTTACTTGAATTATCTCCTCTTTCTCCTTGCATGAGAACTTGTAGTTACCTTCAAAGCAAAAGGAGAAATCTTCCTCTTCTCCTGCGGCATTCAAACGAAGAAAATGCATCAAACACTCCATCTTCTCGTGTACCCGTGTAACATGGGGTATTTTCTCTTGAAAATAGTTCAGGTAACTCAACATGGTGGGCCCCTTAGCCTTAACTACGTTCAGCTGAGCATGGAGCTTCTTCATGAAGCTGTTATCTTCATACATTTCCTCCAGCCGGAGGAGAGAGTTGCTGGCGAGATGTCTTCCTCGGCTCAGTTCCTCGTTGAAAAACTCTCCAAACAGGAAATAATACTCGGCATGATATAGGGCTGAGTCGAACCAAGCGCTCCAACTTTTGGTGCTTGGATTTGGCGGCATCCTTGCATTTCCAGAAATGTGCCTTCGCAAGAAATTGAGAAACCTGCTCTTTCTTCCACTTGGAACGAAAAAAAGATTTCTAAAACACTTCAGAAATTCGTTTAGTTCGGTGAAATGTTTCTTGAAATCGGAGGCCACAAGATTGACAATGTGACTGTTGCAGGTGATGTGGACAGAAAGGGGAAATAAACATGACAGGGTCTCATTGAATGCTTTCTTCATATATGCAACATTGTCGGAATTGAAGACTCGAACATTGTCAAATTCTATGTCGTACTCATTGACTGTTCTAACAATTGCCTGGGATACCGTTTTGTTGTTCGTCTCACTTAAGAACTGAGTATCAAGCAGGTATGCAACACAATTGCCTTCTGGAGAAAGTTCGTCAAAGTCAAGAATAACAGCCATGACATCTAAAACGTATCTGCCTTCATCGTCACTAAGTTCATCCACAATCAACGCTACATTTTTACCTTTGAAGTGCTTTTTGAGCTCTGCCTTTTCCACTTCATATACGTCAAATAGATAGTAGTCACGAAGCTGAGAGCATTTTGGAATCGCACCACCATTACTAACTTTAGACTGGAGAAAATTTCTCAACTCTTTGTTATCTGACTTATGCAAAGGGATATTGGCTGCACAGCATGCTTTTATCCAGGCTTGGCAGATCTTCACTTTTTCCATGTGCGGAGTTGTCTTGCACTCAAAGGAAGTTTTTAGGGTTTGTTGTTTCCCCAAAGAATTTTGACTGTGTACTTTCCGAATGTGTGAGGCAGATTCCAAATGCTTGTCGATCTTGTGTTTTCTTAAATGATCAATGACTATATTGCATGTTGAACAGAATAACAGGCCATCGTCCGCATGCAGTGTTCCCTTTGGATATTTTCTAACCCTGTCTGCTGCCGTTACGTTTACAGCTGTATGGTTGTCTTTTTTTGCTAAGAACTTTTCCATATTTTGGCCGGTGACAGTCACGAAGTCGCCCTGCGATGTCGCTCTACGATGTCGCCGATCACTTAGACATAAATGACCGGCATGGCAGCCGGTCAAGGTTTTCAAATGACTATTAAATGACCAGCAGTCTGATATTTTTTATATTTTTGATCATATGTCGATAAAGAAGCGCTCTTCGCTTCACTTTAAACGAATAGATATCGAATACACCACAAGAAACAAAGAACAACATGTACAGCTAAAATCGATCGTAAACCAGTGACCTTCGGAAGTCTTCAATCACGTGATGCAAATTTCCCGCCACAAGCAAGCGTCACACTTACCGGAAATCTCGAGGAAATCGCCATGGTGTCACGAATACCCGACTATTGACATCTATTAAAGCTCTTCAAGATCGCTTGACACTTCTTAATCGACATATAATAGTTCGGATATGATCGGTTCTTTTGTCAAAAATGTCAGACTGCCGATCATTTAGTGTTTTGAAAACCTTGATCGGTAGTCGATCTCAAAAAGATTCTAAGTGTCATAAACCATGGTTTTGTATTCTGAGCCCAGCGTAAACCAAGCATTATACTTGAGATCTACAAAGCTCTTCAGGATCGCTTGGCGCTTCTTAATCGACATATGATAGTTTAGATATGATTGGTTAATTGCATTCTTCAGATTTATCAAAAATGTTGGAATGCTGGTCATTTGAAAACCTTGACCGCTGCCAGTCATTTAGCCACAGCGTTTTGACAAACAAGTGAACATGTCGAGATCGATAGAAAATTTATTTTAATTTCGAAGTAGAGCCATGTGGCGCAATTTATCATATACCGGTAAACAACTCTGATTTATTATTTGTAAAACAATTGCCACAAATAGGATAAGAAGAACCCCAGTATCCCACGGAGCGCTGCATGACGACACAATACTCGATGTGTACGTGACTAGTGCCCAGGACAGCGCGAGCTATGGAAAGCGCCTTGTTGTTTTTATAAGCGCCCGAGCTGTTCGAGGAAAAAGCTATGGATTTTTCGTTTGTTTTGGAAGGTAAATAGCCTAAAAGTTTTCTAGAAATCTTGGAAATCAATAGGAATACCTGATTTAATTTAAATTTTCAGGAAATTTTTCAGTATTGTGCGGGATTTTGCCGATTGTGCGTGATTGTGCGGGTTAGACCGAATTGTGCGGTCCCGCACCCGCACACCCTGTCAGAAGGCCTGATTAATGAGTCGAACAAAAGACATTTTGCAATATACTTATCTTAATCATTTGAAGAACCGGAGGTAATAATAATGATACTCGTACATTTTTTTAAAATTAACCTTCTCAATGTCAAGAAGTATTACACTTCATGGTACGTTCAAGGCAACAGAAAAATTCCTCGTTAATTTCCTTTGAAATGAACGTGAATAACTAAAAAATATACACTGCCAGTTTACTGTTCACAACTTTCATTTGATTTGCAATACACTTTTAGTTTAAAGCTGATATATACTTGGGCGTAGAACCACGTCGTTAATAGAACATTAACTCGATCATACGAAATCCGGTGAGTCCCGTGAGTAAGCAACTGAAATTAGTTCATCTGGCCACCTTCTCTAAGGAAAGTTGGGATGCCTTGGTCTCTTACTGCTGCTAAACCACTTGACAACTGCTGGAGTTGGGTCAAAAGCTTATAATTCTGGCCCTTCCGTACTGATGGATCTGTAAATCACCATCCGTGAGAATTTAACATCCTGCTAAAAATGCTAACAAGCTGGGCCCAGCGTGACAATACATTGTGCATGCAGCAAACCGTCACATTCACAGACAAAAAGAAAATCACTTTTAATTATTCAGATCCAGGATGCACTTCGCAGAAATTAAGCAACCTGAAATCCTCATTTACCCACAATGAAGAATGTTAGATTTCAAAAGAGGTCAAAGAAAAAATGCTCTTGCGTCAAAGGGCAAATTATGCCGACCAGAAACAATGCCCGCAGGAAATCAATATGCACGTCACGACCTCTCAGTTTGAAATAAGCAGCAAAAATCACATTTGGTCAGTCAAAACGTTTTCCTCCAGAACATAATCTACCCGTGAGAGAAAAAGAAAAAATTATTGGAACAAGCAGCATTTTGGCATGAAGTGAAAGTCGTGTGTTGCCTACCGACCCCCTTTTTTACACTATGAACTCGATTGCCGAGAAGCACGTGTTTCAAAGGTGGCTTTCACTCGCATGTGTCAGCCGAGTCTTCGCAAAACTGAAAAGGGCTGGGATGGAATGGAAACATGGAGCACTCGGAGAATCACAGCGGAAAAAGACAAATAAAACACACGCTGATGCAAGGAAGGTGATAACTGATTGAATTTATTTCAAGCTTCTGTTTCGTGTCTAACCAGTTGGAGTCATTTTAGGATAATCAGGTGAGAAAGCCGGCAGAGTTGAGTGGTGATAAGCTCAGTCACATTCATCTCCGGGATTTTTAGGCGCGCAAGTGCGATCACACAAGAAGTTTAGGCGCACAATTAAAAATCTAGTCGCATGTGCGACCAGCTGGTCGCTAACTTTGAGCCCTGTCTCTCATTCTGCTACTTGACATGATCAAAATGTTGTGACTGCATGTTGTACTCGGTATGGATTCCTTTGATCCCTTGTTTACCATAGAATCCAAGGCCAATGTGTCATTGTCTTAGAAATGGACAAACATCGTCTTCTAGCATATGAAGCTTTGGTGTGATTGCTTTGTCAGGGAGGTTTTGTCGGATAAACTGCGGAAACTTTTTGATGTTTGCATCAAGAAAAGGTGAATGAAACTTAACTTACTGTGCCCAAGCAGGACAATGCATGTGATGTACATATTTATATCTCAGTTCGCTATTTCACCTACTAGCTTATCGATCTTCTCATTATCAAGGTACTCTGTGCTATCATACACAAAATGGCAAGCATCAAACAGTTTGAAGGAGTGTTCAAACTTGACACTAATTTCTCTTGCCTGAGAAAGAAAGGAAGGACACAGCTCTTCTATTTTTACCATTACAGCACTGCATAATTTAGTTATGTTGGGTGCCTAAGAAGAAGACACCAACAAATTAGGTTGTTAATGGCAGTTCGTGTGTTTACTTCTATGTAGTTTTGATCTCTTAATTAAGGTAGAATGTATGTTACCTTGCAGCAGATGTGCACGTGGTTACCAGTGAACGATTTTCCATGGTAGGCCTTTCGCTCAACATTTATTCGCTTCAGGACCATGTCCAAATGCTTTGTTAGTGGTCCATCGGATCCATCAAGCCCTGCCAATTCCATCTGCTTATCTGCAAGTTTCTCCAGTAATTAAAAGTAAAGAGAACATAAAAATAAATTACAGTATTCATAGCGTGGATTATCATGGTCTGAAACAGCTTCTTCAAAACAGTCATAGATTTTGGATGGAGTTAGTCAGCTGAACATTCTTGATGCTATAGTATACTGTTTTGTTGCCTCTTTCTTTGCACCTTTAAGGAGTCTTTCAATTTCACTTTGAATTGACGTGAAAAAGGAAGGCATAATAGCCACATCAGAATGCAAACTCTGTAAATTCAATAATTCCTGTAAAGAATTTGCTTTCTCATGCAAATGTTGTGGCTGACTGCTGTGTTGATGAGCAGCTCTGAGTACCAGGATTCTTTCATCATTGTTGTCACTGTCAGCTGCCAGCTCCATTTCGATTATTTTGTCCAGCTGAGCGCATTGGTTCTCAATTTCATCAAATAATCTCTGGAAAACACCCAAGCTGATGTGAAGTCCAGAAATAACGAAGAAAGAATCAGATTGCTAAGTTTCCTGTTAATGCCCTGTTTTATTAGTATTTGTTTTTCCTAAGCTAAAAAATGTGTTGATAGTTTATTTCCCTTTTCCACGTCAATGTCAAGCAGTTTCTCATGGATCACATTGTGATAACACTTCTGTTGACTTGTTACACAGCCATCTGCACCAAACTTGTTGTAATCTTCAATGTTCTTCATATTTCTCTTTTCTATTTGCCAATGACGAGGATCCTACTACGAGGAGCCAACTTATATTACAACAAGGTGCTTCAAACATTACCGGCCTGATCAATTTCTTGTTGACGTTTCGCAAGTACCCTGGTCCGTTTTGGACGTTTTTGATGATCCTGAAGATAAATTGAACGCGTTTAACCTATTATTCAACAATGTATTAGACGAACATGCACCCATCAAAACAGTCAAAATTCGTGGACGTCCCAACCCTTTTGTAACATGCGAAATTCGGGACCTTATGAGACTTAGAGATCATTGGAAGAAGGTAGCCCAAAAAAACAAAGATCCACATGCTTGGTCTAAATACAAAAACCTTTGTCGCGAAGTCAAACATGAAATAAGGACGGCTGAGAAAATATTCATCGCGGAGCAAGTTGTAAACAACAAAAACAACTCTAATTGCCTCTGGAGAGCAATCCGCTTGTGCATACCCAAGAAGTCCGCTTCTCAAAGGAATTATTCCAAAGATGACAAAATTGTTGCTGATGAATTTAATAATTTCTTTTCCTCTGTAGGAAAGAGTACCATCAATAGAATTGCTAAGTTGGCAGAGGAATCGAATTATACTCTTAATCAATGTTCATTTATCCCGAGAATCTACCCATTGTCAGAGCAGTTCACCTTCAACGCAGTGAAGTGCGAACAGGTACAAAAGATTGTCACATCAATGGCGAGTGGTAAGGCCCCTGGGATTGATAAAATCCCAATCCATGTGATCAAAGATTGTTTGCCTGCTATCTTGCCATCGTTAACGTCTATTATTAATGCTACCTTTGAGTTTGACACCTTCCCTTTGGCCTGGAAAACAGCTGAAGTGACACCGATACTCAAGGCTGGAGACCACGATATTCCAAACAATAATAGACCGATTTCATTACTCCCTGTCCTTTCTAAAGTCTGTGAACGTGTCGCTCACAATCAACTTACGTCATATCTACTTTTGAGAGGCCGTTTATCATCCAAACAAAGCGGAAATAAACAGTGGCATTCAACGGAAACATCTGTCATTCAAACAACTGACGAAATCCTAAATGCCATTGACAAAAAGAAACTGACTGCAGTTGTCCTTCTTGATCTAAGCAAAGCTTTCGACAGTATTGACCATCAAATACTCCTCGCTAAGTTACAGGACATTGGTGCGTCCAGACCTGCGATAAAATGGCTCGGAAGCTATTTAACCTCGCGATACCAATTTGTGCGAATAAATACAACTCTGTCAACCAAACTACCTGTTAGCTCTGGCGTTCCACAAGGGAGCATCCTTGGCCCATTACTCTTTAACATCTACGTTAATGATCTCCCTTCTGTGCCAGAAAATTGTACATCGCAGTGTTACGTCAACGATACCAAACTTCTCATGTCATTTCAACTCCGCGATCAGCACGAAACGATAGAAAAAATGAACAAGGACTTGTTAAGCATTAGGAATTGGTGCTTTGATAATCAGCTTTTACTCAACCCAGATAAAACAAAACTAGTGATATTCGGCAGCCGGCAAATGACTTCTATTGGGGAAGGAACTCGAGCCCTTTAAGGCTGCAAGAGACCTTGGTGTCACACTGGACTCTAACTTAACATATAATGAGCATATTGTTTCTACTGTATCCTCATGCATGTCACGTTTGGGCCAAATTAACCACGTTAAGCATATTTTTAATAAACACGTGCTAATTATTATTATAAATGCCTTAGTATTTAGTAAATTATTCTATTGCTCTTCTGTTTGGAGCAATACTACTCAAACTAATCTGGACAAGCTCCAAGCAGTACAGAATTTCGCTTGTCGTATTTTGAGCGGCGCTAAAAAATTCGATCACATAACTCCTTTGCTAAAAGACTTGCGCTGGCTACCAATCAGGCAACAACTTTATTTTCGTTTTGCTGTTCTGGTTTTTAAGTGCATGACGAGTTGTGCTCCGGAGTATTTGACATCAAAGCTCGTTGGAAGATCCGCCGTCTCGACAAGGAATATGAGAAATTCTCAACTTTTGAACATACCACTCTTCCGCACTGCCAGCGGCTAAAGGACCTTTCAATATAGAGCAACCTCTCTCTGGAATGAGTTGCAGCCTGCGCTCAAACTTAGCCCATCCGTGACGGAATTCAAGTGTTTAATCAGGCAAAAGCTTCTTAATGACTGCTTTATTTAATTAATTTTATTAATTTTATTGACCTTTGTCTTCTTTTATCATTGTTATATTCTTATTGTCATGTACTTGGTTTATAATTTTTTAATGTAAAATTGACTCTGAAAAGCCCCGTGGGGACGAGCCAATAAAGTATGTATGTATGTATGTAAGAGAGTTGGAGCATCTCATATGTGATCAGGCACCAGAGGCATGGATACTTGGCTGCAAGATATTAATTCACTTATGAGTACTCCTTCACAGAAAGTGTTTTTAGGCTACAACTTGGGAAGGTTCTACTTAGTTAATTATATTAATCAAATATTTTATGTTTTGTATATTTTAATTATTATTTGAACTTACCTGAGGTTCCAGCAGTTCGAAATATCTTTCATAAAACTCCTAGTCACCAAAGAGGAAAACTATTTGCTTTTTGCCTCTAAAACAGCAAAAAATATCAATGTTGAATTTCAGCAGGATGCCTCAGTATGGAGGTTTTACTCTGTATGGTTTATAAAAAATCTATAATACATTTACAGTGTACGTACCAACCTCCAAGTAGCTTCCTTTAGGGTGTTCACTTGCTCCCTGTATTTTTAAAGTGGTCCATGTATCTTTGGCGTGGAACATGGCAAAGACCACTGTACTCGTTTTGACTTTAGATGTTTAAGGTTGGCAATCTGGAAAGCCATTTTGAAGGACCCACCACCAGCATCACCTCCAGGTTTTCAGTGGACTCCCTCTTCTGGGATGGCATGATTCCATGTCAAGTGTCCACTCCTAAAATCAATAGTGATAATTCCTTCACGAGGCAGTGCTAAAAGCCTACCCTACATTTGCAATGAATGACCTCTATTCACAGTAATGATTGACATTGCTGCTACAGTAACGTTCATAACCGTATAAAAGCCAAAGAATTATACTTTTCATTTTCATCCAAACGAAGTTGCATAAACTGGTTAAGGTCAGCAACAACCAAACTCAGCTTTTTTAATCTCAGGGTTGCATCCTCGTTTTTTGAACTCAAACAGCACCATCTCGCACACAAAGTTGGCAGGGCCAGTAATGGACTGAACTTGCTTCGTCTAATCTTTTTCACTCTCAGAGGACAATCGCCATTGGTTAAACCACCTGTAGAGAGACAATCCAGGACAATGCTATTATAACGTATAAAACTGGGTGGAAATTGACTTTGTTGGTACTTATTGTAGCTACATTATGTACATTCACTTGGAATGCTATGTCCTGTGCACAGGTCCAGGGAGTTCAGGCAATAATCAAATAAATCATAGGACAAAAAAAAAATTTTTGCTCAAATGTTGTGTGGCTTTCTTGGGGTATGTTCATTATTTAAAATCTTACCTCCCAAGCCACCTAACTTTTTACCATGTTTCTCCAAGGCCTGGCTTCATGTCACCCCTGGGGATGGTTATTTTCAATTCTTTTCCTAAGGCCTCCTTCAGCAGTGCTTCTCTTTCCAGTCTAGCCATTACTTTCAATTCATCCACCAACTGGGTCCCTGCAGCACCACCACTTACAGCTGTTCAGGTCTCTGCTACTACCTTCGATCTTTTTGTAACAGTTTTTTGTTACCTCATCAGTTGTTTTCCTGGCCCTGGTTCTTTTAACCAGGTCTAGTGGCTGAAAATTAATATCATAATCATGTTTTTCATGCCATGTTTTGAAATGTAGTGTTTGGGCTTCAGTCCAGGTTTGGTTTTCTTTTCCTTCTAAGCTTTTGTTGGTACTTGTGGGAACTGCATATAACACAGTCGCCACATTGGTTATGTAGAGGCCAAACATTGATTGTGAGACATGTGCCTCCTCTTGAAGCAGGCTTGTAGCACTTGTGGCAGAATTTGGGAGGGCATGTGTCTCAGTCATCTCCTCGCATCTTTACACCAAAGGCCGTGAAAATAATTTCTCTCTTATCTGCACCAAGAAAGCTGATTTCGTACTTATCTTTGGCCTTCTTCAACTGCTCCCCACAAGTTTGACAAAGCTTCTCCAATATTAAATAATGTTCAGAAAGACCAAAGTTTACCATTTGATTAAACTACACTGAACTGAAGTTACTCGAATTTTAAAGCTATCTATAGATACAGTGAATAAAATTGAAGAAAGGTATGTTTCTAACATCAGTATATTTATTGAGAGGCTGTTGTAAGTTTCATGCAGGAAAAGGTGTGTGTTAATCTTTCACTTCTTAGGGGAAATGATGCATTCTAGTTTTATTACATGCTTCTCTTCTAAATGGAGGGCATCACGTACAGGAGGAGAAAATACTATCACTTGATGTTCACAATAAGCCTCTGACTGACAAAAAGACAAAATCAAATTGGCAAATTTTATACAGGAGTCAAGAAACAGAACAAAAACTACACACACGATTGTGATCAAAATAGCTGACAAAATATACAACTACGCATGGTTTCGCAATTTCCCGGTACAGATGATGTACACTTATCAGGAAGGAGGGAATCAACTGAAACACTTGGTGTGAATTCCATTCGATCAAAGGGCCGCTACTGCTTTAAAACAGTGCTATTATCTCGTAACCTTTTCTATATTTTACTTTGGCATACACAGATTTGAATTTTGAAGTGGAATTTACCTTGTTCTGGGAAATTTGTTTCGAAGAAATGGGTAAATAAATGGCATCTTGACTATTTTGATGGAGGAGTGTGATCGGTGATAACACTGGTCAAATCTATGTGGATTAAAATGCGAAAGTATAGAAATGAACATCAAAAGATAGAGCTAAAACCAGAGGTGTGTCTTTATTGCAGGAAAATTCGAACAAGTCTCAAAATGTATCATTATTTAACAAGACCTGGACAAGGCCACAAATCACTGGGCGTGAAAGCAAGGTGCTTACAAGTCAGCTATTCAAATATGTTCCTCTCCATTTTAGCGTTCCAGCTCAAACATGGGTCACAGAAGCTCAAAATAGTAACTGCGCATAAAATATTAACGTCTGCGAGCTAGGAGCTTGTACTTTTTGCATGTAGGTTGTCTGTGGGCTCTGAATTACTGAGCCGTTATCGTGAAGCTTTAATTTCAGTGGTTTCAAACTCAAAAAGTCAGTTTGAGATGCATGAACTAAATTTCCACTCTTGCGCCTTCTGAAACAGTGGTGGTAGCAAGAATCTACTACATAGCGGTATTGTGATCAACAACGCGCTCTTTATTTGGTTGCTATTGCTTTTTTGAGTTCCTTATTTTTGCTAAAGCTCTAGCACCATTGATGTGGTTAATTCCATTAACGAATACTTACATTAATTTTGTTGCTTGTTTTGTAGCTTTCTTTTTCACATAAAGGTCATTCATTTTCCTTGTAGGTGTTGCCTTGCAAACAAAACTTAAGTGCCACACAAACCCCACATTTTGTAAAGTTTTTTTCCTAAAGAAACAAAACAGACAAACCTAACATGAACAGTGCCCCTTGTAAGAAAACTCTTTTCAGTCGAATTTCATTGTTATGAATTCAAAGCTTCATGAATTTAAAAGGATGTATTTGAAACAAAATCTTGCTTTCCAGCTCTACTTCCATTTAATATTAGCGTCATTGTAGAATTTTATCTTTGGTTTAAATTGTATTTTTTTTTCAAAGTCATTATCTGTTTTTGCCACACACCAACATGTTGTACTCCCAAATTTCTTACATTCACACTTCACACCTTTGTTCTCACCCGAATGTGCCGCTCTTCTTCCCCAATGTTGAGCTGAGCGTATTTTGGAGCACTGAAATGACTGCAAACCCAAATCAACATGGGAGAGGGAAAAATCACACAAGTGTTTCAAGATTTGTGACGAGGATTGTTGTTGTGGTCTTCTGTATTTAAAATTGTCACCAGAAGAAGTGATGGGAGTGTGTGGTGCACGGGCAGCCAGGCTAAAGAAATGAAGAGAAACTTAAATCATGGTGTCAGATATTTTTGCAATGCCAAGTAATAGAAAAAAACAAAGTAATATGAGTGTATGGGTGGGCAGGCAGGCATATGCTTTGTCATAACCAAATTTTCTTGGATGGATAGTTAACCAAATTTTCTTACCCATGGTGCTCCGCTGAAGCGCGCACGAGGAGCTCCGCTGAAGCGCGCATGAGGAGCTCTGCTAATAATAACTAGCAATGTAGTAATATACTATGGAATGTATACCGTTATCCTTTTTCTTCATTAATTCTGCCTTTGCGTGCTTTTTAACTGATCTTAATGATCGGGCAGTTCTAGTGTTGTTACTGAGACTATTCCACGCTTTTGCTGCCCTATAAAAGAACCCACTCTGGGCAGCCCTGTCCGGCATCCAGGCGGAAATAACTGATTAAAATGGTTACTGATTCTTTTTGTATTATTTCAATAATACATTGTACCAGT